AGACCAGCTTTGGCTGTGTTGATCTTTTTAGTTACATGAGATGTTGAGTGGAGCAGCCTGTCTATTTCATATCCCAAGATCTTGTTAGGGTTTCTAATGGCTACAGGTGTACCTCTGATGGAGATACCCCCTTTATCTTCGATGGTTGATGCAAAACATCCTATCGTGCTAACAAGAACCTTGTCAGGATTAGTCGTAATTCTCCATTTCTTCTCCCAATTAGATGTTCGACGAAGTTCAATATTCATTTTTTCTATGACTCTCTCATACTTGTATTTTCCTGTTACTGGAGTTGATGAGACGACATGAATAACATCATCTGCAAACTGTGTCACAATTGTGTCATTAAACTCTGGTTGAGGAAGGTAAATTCACATAAATGTTAAACAGAAGTGGACTGAGACAAGAACCTTGTGGGACACCAGCCGTCGGTATAAAAGGTTCTGTCGACTTGCCATGAAAGGTGGGAATGATTTTTCTTTGAGTTAAGAAATTATAAATTACTCTGAGAAAAGTCCAGTTATGGTCTGGTAGGTCAATGAGTTTGTATATAAGGCCATCATGCCATAAGCTATCAAAGCTTTATGAACATCTCTGGTGGCAATTAAGGCAAGATTGCCTGCTGTTTTAGACTTGCTACAGTGTCAAAAATAACATTTATTGCATGGTTGGTACCTCTATGTGTTCTAAAGCCAAATTGTTTTTCAGTAAACAAGTGATTAAACTCCATATAGTAATTCAATCTGTTGGAAATGACTTTCTCAAGAACTTTTCCAGTGACTTCAAGTAAAGATATAGGTCTATAGTTCCCAGGTTGGTGAATGTCTTTATTGGGCTTAGCAAGAAAGATCATCCTAGCAGTCTTAAAAACAACTGGAAAATATCCTGAGGCCAAGATGGCATTTAAAGATTTTACCAAGGACTGTTTGCAATTTCTAGGTAGGTACTTTATTTGTTTCATTGTTATTCCAGAGAGGCCAGGGGCTCTATTTCTCATTCTTCCAATAACCTGACTTATCTCTAGTAATGTAATAGGTCTAGTAAGCGGTGGGGGTATCTTCAAGAGTTGAAGTATCGATGGTAGGTAGTGGTTGTAGATCGTCCAAGTTCTCATCTCTCCATTCATTTACTAACTGATAATGATTATTATTAAATTGACGACTGTTATTATGAGAGAGAATTTTCTCCCATACATCACCCATCAAATTAGCCTGGTCCTGTGGATCGTCAAGTTTAATTTCAACATCTTCATCATCTTCATCAGTGAAGGTATGAACTAAGTAGTTAGGAACCTTGTGCTTTTCCCCCTAAAAGTTGTCGGATCTTACTCCAAAATTTTGCTGGTTCACGTTTATATTGATTAGCTTGAAGAACTAAAAATTTCCATATGTCTCGTTTGTGTTGACTAATCATGTTAATTAATTCTTGCCTTAACCGGTGCAATGTAGCTGCTGGTGGTTGTCTTGTTTGAAGATGCCTTCTACATTCTGCTTGATAATTTCTTAAAGAATCTCTAATTTCTCTAGTAGGTTTATATTGTTGGTATATCTTTGTGGAAGCTAATTGGCAAGTTGCATTGGTAGCTTCAATTATTCGATTGTGCAGGGACCTGATTGCATCATCAATTGCACTGGAAGGTAGATTTTCCAAGGACACAATTTCATCATCACCCAGATATGCCCTGAAGGGGTCAAATCCTAGGGTGTTAAGATTGGGTTTAGGAGTTACAGGTATTCTAAATGGAGAAGTTTGTAGTTGTATTATAACAGGGATATGGTCAGATCCTACATTTCCACCAGGAGATATACGACAGTGAAAGATGTCACAGTCTCTGTTTGTCAGTACAATATCTGGTGTTCCTGGATGAGGTCCAATGTACGATTTGAAGAATGGGCCTTGAAATGACAAGTTTCTAGCTGTCATGATATTAAAGAGTTGTTTTCCTTTTAAGTCACCCAGTGGAATACCAGCTCCACAGTTAAAGAGGGCAGGGTGATGAGCATTAAAATCTCCAGCTAAAATTGTTGGAATATTTCTGCTTAATATCCTATGTAGAGGAATTGACTCTATATTATGGCTGTCTCGGGGGAAAATATCCAGTTCCTATTACTAGTTGTCCATGCGACGTTGTTAGTTCTATTGCAAGAATGTTATCTTCATCCACATGAATATTTTTAAATGTATATCCTAATTTAACCAAGATGGCTACACCACTAAACTGTCCTCTCGATTTCTCAACAGTACAGTATCCACGTAATTTAATATGTTGATCAACTCTTGCAGCTGTCTCGTTCAAAAGTATAACATCGGGATTGTAGTTATGTAGTTCAACCTCAAGAAGGTAACGGTTATTAAAGAAATGTTGAACATTAAGTTGGAAAATTGTAATCCCCATTATTGCTTATTCTTCGCTCGTACACTGCGTTCTGAACGCCTGCAAGTAATGTTATGTGTTGTATCTATACTATCCCTGCTGGACTCGTCAATATTAGAAGGGAACTTTTGCGTGGATGCTTGTGTATTAACAATGCCATCATCTTCATCTTCACTAGAGGCAGTAATATTAACAGACTCATTAGAATCAATAGAATCGTTAGAGTCGTTAGAGTCATCATCATAAAACTGAGGTATGCTATACTCAGTTTCAGGAAGCAGAGGCTCGTGAGAGTTAATGGGAGATTGTGTAGGCTCCAAGGGAATATTAGATCGGCAAGGTGAGTTACCTTGGGGAAGTTCCTGTTCAACAGGATCAGCTACAATAGCGGGAGAGTAGGCACCACTTTCTGGGGCATTATGTTCAGGTGTTGACTTGTCGGGTTGAGAGGAGTTGTCGACCTGGGTTTGTGAGGAGGGCGATCCCTGAGCCAGGGATGACTTAGGCTTATTTTTAGATGTAGAGTATGGTACATACTTCTTGTTATGAGAAGGCTGGGTCATAATGGCCTTCACATTTTCAGGGATAATGATGGGAGTGATCCCATTAGCCATTAACAGATCATTCAAAACACGAGAACAGAGTTGAATATCACCACCAGCTGTGTCTTGGCCACCAAGTACATTAGTTTTTGCTCTCGTTATATCCCCGTCTGTGGATACCTGAGACACATTTAGATGCGACTGAACCTTGTTGTTGTGTCTGTTGTAAGTGAGGGTTAGATTGGGGCGCTCCAAGAGGGGCAGAATTCCAAACATTGGAACCATTGGTAGAGACCTGAGGAGTCCCACTTGATCCAGGCAGAGCTGGGAAGGAAGTTTGGGACATGGTTGGCGGTGCCTGGGGAGTGGTCTTCTTAGAAGTGGATAGTTTCTTGGCGTCAAGAATTTTCTGCATTTCCTTTTTTCTTTCAGGACAAATAGCAGAAACAGCATGATGATTTCCATTACAGAGGACACATTTAGGTGAATTTTTATTGGTACAATCACGATACAATGTTGGCCAGAGCAAAATGCTACAAATTTGCCCTTGTATACTGCATTTGTTGTTGTTATGACCAAAGGCATAACACTTGAAACATTGTGTCACACTGACAAAGCGTTCCATGGAAATTTGGTCAGATGTACATCTGGTATTGAAACATTTGAAGCCATTTTGACACACAAGTTTGGCCTCCTCAGGTGTCTCGAGTATTAATTTTAAAGTTACCTTATTGTTGTTGGATTCGAGAATTTATGTGCTTCAACAGCCCTAAGGTCAGAATTCTCGGTATTAATGTTATCAACAATTTCATTAACATTGCTGTGTTTCATAAAACTGTTGATTCTGGCCACAAACACAGTCCTCTGAGCTTGATAGCTGTCAGGTGCAACTGGGATAACACCAGAAGTCTTCAGTTTATCCAGGACATCATGCTTTAGGAGTTGGAGTAACTCTTCTTCCGAAGAGAGGAGAAGTACTACTCCAGTGTGGGTTTTAAAAACATCCACTGGAGCAACAGTTGAGTTAGAGCAAATACAATTGAGAATGTCTTTCATGGACATTTGATTTCCAACAATGCGTAATCTTACACGAATCCTCGCCATGATGCCTAGGAAGGAGCATGTGGCAGAGGAGTTGCTTAACAAAAAGGTATCTTTCCTTAATGTTAGCCTAACATCCTATTTCAGCTGACTTATGAAGGTCAGCTCCTAAGATAGCCTACCCTCGAGTAGTGAGGGAAAGGGCCCAAGGCAAAGATCGGCTGGATTTTAAAAACCACACGGGCTACCAGATGGTCAAAATGCCTTGTTTTTAACTCGCCAAGCGAAGTTGCCGAAAAATAAGAAGATAGGACAGTCAGAAGGATAGCAATGTATGTAGTGTGTTAAGTGTGTGGGCCAGTGTTGATGTATGGGTGGGGGGAGGATGGGGAAGGATGGGGGGATGGGGATGAGAGGGGTGAACAAGCAAGCAAGTCACCGCCTTACCCTCTTGATGGGATGGGGCTCGAAGTGACTGCAAGCAAGTCTCCTCTCAGCTCTGGTGAAGAACTACTCAGGATAACCCAAGTAAATTCTCGAGCAACAGTGTTCAGAGTTGCTCAGCTGAAGAGCGGGAACGACGACGTCTTCTCTCCACGGTGGCTGGGCTGCTCTGTCGAATCTGGAGCACAGGCAAGAAGGCTGACGCTTATATACTAGAGTCAGGTGAAAATAGGACGGGTAGCAGACGAAGCCATTGTCACTGGTAGGTGGGATTCCCCAGTGGAAGTAGGTCATACCCAAGGACGGCTTAGTAGTAGTGAAGAAGGTTGTGGAGTTGTCCTCTGAACCAGCCAGCCTTCTTGCCTGTGCTCCAGATTCTTCACGACTACGGTGTCCTTCACACCAACTCCAAGGTTGAGGGACTGATTACCTCATCTTCTGTATATAGTTCTACTGTCTTCAAATTATGTCCTAGAATCTGTATTGATAAATTCACGGGATGGCGAAACGTCTACATTAAAGATACCCAGATGTTGTACATGTGTCTAATTTTCATCTTGTCGGTATTGTATACCATTCATGAACAATGTGTCACTTACTTGTCGAGACAGTCCTGAGTAGCTTCCACCTCTGGGTCTGGGCAGATCCTGAACTCGAAGTGTCCACGGTGGTTGCTGGTGATGTCCACGGTGACATTGATTATCTGCCCCTGTGTGTAATGCTTGACGATGGTGCCTGTAGCGTAAACACCGTCAGGAGCCTCGTGAGGCCTGGGGTGCTGGTCCCAGGCATCACCACACACACCACATTTCCCGTCATTAACTTCGTGTTGTTGCTGAAAACGTTGTCCGTTGGTCAGTTTTTGTTTACATCTACACTCATCAAATATGTTTTAGCGCTAAATCTTACGTAGGTGTATTAGAGCAGTTATATTAATGCTATGGCTGATATTTTAAAACTAATGATATGTGCATAATGTCTGGTTAACGGGAAAATTTTATAAGCAAAAAATCGAGGCTGAAAAGACTTACATTGAAGCCTCCACAGAAGCCTTGGTTGTCGTTGTAGTCTATGGGAGTAGGCCAACCCAGGCGCCATGCTGTGGCCCGTGATGGTGGCTCCATCAGACGTCCATGGCCCCGGCACCCGACCACTGCCACCTGAAGAAAACATTTGTTAGTTTACGAACCCGTAAGGAATACTAATCCATGGTAAACCAATCAGTGGCTTATTTCCATTTGGAGTCGACTAACTCCTAGGTACGATATTGCTGGTTCACTGTACAACACCATGACTTATGTACTGCTGTTATGTTGCTAAACTGACCCTTCACGCTACCTAAATTTACTTAAATTCTCAAAACCACATACATATTAAGCTACACAGTAATAAATATTTTTGTAACTTAAATCATGTCTGCATAAATACCTCATTACGATTGTAACCAGGTATAAGCATGTAAATAATTCATTAAATTACCACTGTAACATTTTTAGCTTTCAAAATTTTATGGCCCAGTCCCCGTACCCATTATATGCCTCTGTAATCTTCCAACTACCGCCCACAGGATAGGTGCATAATAAAGATGTTAAACTAACGACTACCCAGTTTGTGGACAATAATACAAAAAGAGCTTCAACTAAGTTACACGGACTCAGGAAAATGTTTATGATGCATCCAAGAAAATCAGCAATATCTCGGAAGTCACTACTGCCCTGCTTCAGCCGGGCTGCAGGTACCTCTGGTAGTCTGCACCACAGGCTCATGTATACCTAACAGAATGCAAATATTGCGAGAGGAACTTTTGTCACACCTGCATCATTATGTGCGGGTATGCAGAAAAATATCAAAACCTGAGGGACAACTCGCTCACAGATATACAAGAAATGTCAAAGTATTTTATTCTGAGTGGCATACTACCAGCCATTCTGGGAAAATATCCTGAGTTTCCCTATTATAACATCTCTCCTTCCTTCACAGGTATACCATCCACGGTGTACTGGTGTCTCCTTCCTTCACGAGTATACCATCCACCGTGTACTGGTCTCTCCTTCCTTCACGAGTATACCATCCACCGTGTACTGGTCTCTCCTTCCTTCACGAGTATACCATCCACCGTGTACTGGTGTCTCCTTCCTTCACGAGTATACCACCCACCGTATACTGGTCTCTCCTTCCTTCACGAGTATACCACCCACCGTGTACTGGTCTCTCCTTCCTTCACGAGTATACCATCCACCGTGTACTGGTGTCTCCTTCCTTCACGAGTATACCACCCACCGTGTACTGGTGTCTCCTTCCTTCACGAGTATACCACCCACCGTGTACTGGTCTCTCCTTCCTTCACGAGTATACCATCCACCGTGTACTGGTGTCTCCTTCCTTCACGAGTATACCACCCACCGTGTACTGGTCTCTCCTTCCTTCACGAGTATACCACCCACCGTATACTGGTGTCTCCTTCTTTCACGAGTATACCACCCACCGTGTACTGGTCTCTCCTTCCTTCACGAGTATACCACACACTTTATATTCACAATACAAGGAACTCGCTGCTTGCACTAACATACTGTTAACAATAACGAAGAAAAGACACATCGCAGATCACGCTTTTACTGAGATGTTTCTCTCAGATAAAATTGAGCATAGATACATACGTTGCCCCCGCCCCCCACGCCCCCCCCCCCCCCCGCCCCCACGCTATAGATTATATTGTGTATAATATTAATTTTGCTATGCCAAATTCTGGCAAGGATTTATAATTTGTATAATATTAATTTGATAAGACAATTCTGGCCAAGATTTATATCAGTGTATGTGTAATTGATAAGCCAAGTGTAACTAATTATATTAATGTGTATATTAATTTTGCTATGCCAAATTCTGGCAAGGATTTATACTAATTGTATAATATTAATTTTGATAAATCAAGTCTGGCTAAGTTTATATTAATTTGTATAATACTAATTTGATAAGACAATTCTGGCCAAGATTTATATCAGTGTATGTGTAATATTGATAAGCCAAGTGTTGCTAATTATATTAATGTGTTATAATATTAATTTTGCTATGCCAATTCTGGCAAGGATTTTATTAATTTGTACAATAATTTTGATAAGCCAAGGCTGGCTAAAGGTTTGTATTAATGTACATTTGAAGTTTATATTATTTTATTACATGTAATTGCTAAGCTCAAGTAGCTAGGATTTATTCAAAGGTAAGTTGTATCAGTGTTGTAAGTTGTAATCAGTGTTATTAAGTTGAATTTAATACATTGCATCATGGCTGAAAATGAGGAAATTAATGTAGAAGACAAACATATGGAATATAGAGTAAAGAAAGCATCTCTGCAAGCTAGAAAGGGTCATGTAACAAAAGCATACAATAAATGCTTGGGAATTAATGAATCAAGAAACTGTGAATACTGATGATTTAAAATTGTATTTAGATGCTTTAGGGAATAGATATGATTCATACAAATTATATTACAAGAAATATGAAAGAGATTTGTTAGTAAACTGTGTAGATGAGACTGAAGTAGATCTTATGATTAATCAGTATTATGAATTAGAGGAAAAGATTCTTTCCTGTAAAAGTCAGGCCTTGAATAAATCAAAATGTGTAAACCAGGAAGTTAATCAGTCTACTCCAACAAATAATATGTCTTTGCCAAAACTCCCAGAATTATGTTTACCTGTATTTAAACCTGGAGAAAACTAGAGGAGTTTTGGTCAATTTTTAAAGCAGCTGTGCATGACAGGAGTGACCTAGCCTGTGTAACTAAATTATTTTACCTCAAAGGACAGGTAAGAGGAATGCTCACATACTCATACAAGCCTTTCCCAATGTAGATGACTCTTACAAGGAAGCAGTTGACTTGTTGAAGGTCACTTATGGTACTATAGAAAAAAGTAGGTTGGATGTAGTGAATATCATTGTTAATTTAAAATCTCCAGATCACACTTACAAAGGTTTACAGCAGTTTAGAGTTAAACTGGAGAGCACTCTCAAAACTTTAAGTTATAAATATAATCTGAAGGAATCAGACTGGTTATTGAGTGGCATGGTACAGAATAAATTAAGCTGTAAAACACCTTTTGGCTCTCGAACAAATATCACAAGGGTTATTTTGGTCTGGAGGAAATAAGACTAGGTCTACAAGAATTAATTGTGCAGTTGCAGACCAGCCAACTAACTCATTTTAAAGATGCAACACATAACTCTGAGGTATCTGTCAAGTTTCACAAAGGGAAAAATTATCCCAATAGTAATAATCAAAATTCATTTCTTAAACAGAGTTGCATAGGTACATATCAAGTAGCAGGAATCAGAAATAATGATTCTCCACAAGGTAAGAAGAATAAGTACCCTCCTAAGAGTAGCCCAGTTAATAAGAAACCAGTCAAAGAAAAGAGAGATTGTCTCTTCTGCAAGGGTACTCATTTTTCTAAGAATTGCAATGCATACAATTCATGGAATGATAAAGTTGAAAGATTGGAGGAACTTGACAGATGTATCAGGTGTTTAGGTAATCACAATGTAAAGGATTGTCATGCTAAATTAAACAACTGTTATCAATGTCACAAAGGAAGACACCATACAGTCATGTGTAAGGGTCTATATGATAATGTTGATAATAATGATAATGTTGACAATCCTGACACAACAGTAGCTAATGTAAAAATTGCTGCTAATGTTAATAATGATGGTTTTGCTGAAGTAGCCTTACCTGTGTTACAGGTAAAAATTGATGATAAAAGGCATAAATCAAAAAATGTAACTGCATTATTAGACCAGGGATCCCAGCGTACTTTCATAAAACGTAAATGTCTTGATGGTACGAAAGTACAGATGGGAGATCCCACAACTTTAAAATTATCTGGTTTTCTCTCAGATAAAAGAGCTCAAGTGTATGACACTGTTTATGTAACTGTCAGGTTGGGCAATGAGAAAAAACGTGTTAATACAGTAATTATAGATAGACTTCCAGAGAAAATATCTACAGTAGGACTTAGTAAAGCTACAGAAAGACTTTCACATAATGTAAATTTAGCACCTTCTGGTGTAAGTGATGATTCTGTAGGCCCAATAAATATTTTGATAGGTAGTGACTATTATGCCTCCTTTGTAAAGGGTATGGTAAAGAAATGTGGTGTCACCCTTTTGAAGACTGCAGGAGGCCATGAAATGTATGGTAGGATTCCTCGTAATAATAATTCATGACTAGAGGAAACTACAAATACCATAACTGTGTGTCTTACTCATGAAATCGTGCCCCAGTATAATTCTTCCATAGAGGATGGTGTTGAGCCAGTGCATAAATTGTGGGAATTAGATAACATTGGAATATATGTAAATGAAGAAAGTCCAAACGATTCTTTTACTCAGGAGCAATACCTGAGAGACATAAAATTTGAATCTGGACAATACTGGGTACGACTTCGGTGGAGACTGAACCATCCAGAATTGCCCACTGTTGCAACCCCTGAATGGGTTACAATGTATATGATGTATATATATATAATGTATATTAAATTTTCATATAATTTTATATTGCTTATATTTGCGATAATAGCTAAATCGTAAATATATTGCTTTATATTATTATTTGACTTAGTTATGTTGTTAGGTAGGATGTAACACATATATTATGTGCTCAAAGTTCAAGTCTTGATTGTCTAACTACTGTAATTATCGCTCTTTGCTCGTTACTCTGCCGGCTTCTCGTTGTTATTGAGCAGCAGCTGTCCACGGAGCTATCATGTGATAGAGGGGGGGGTGTACTCACCTTGCCTGAAGTATTCAGTCTGGTCTAGACTCGCTTGGTGGTTGGGCATATTCCAGACAAGAAGTGCCTAAATCTCCCTTATTGGCCCTTGTTGGAAGATCGTCTGTCTCATTATTGTTATAGGTTCTGGAGACTCTGTTCACAGAACATTGTATAGACTTAGTGATTTTCGACGTTGTACTGAGGTTGTGTGTCTCTTAGACACTCTGAGCAACTCAGGTCCTGCTGTAGCTTCTGACCTAATTTGTACTGGTATCTGTGTACTATCACAGTCGGGGATTTTCTTATGCTGAACTTAGATTCAGTAGTATGGGAGTTTTGTGACTTTTGTGGAGGATCTGCTGATGGTCCCTACTTAGTGTCATTATATTA